TGCACTTCATTGTAAGATCCAGAAACGCTACCGAGGGATTCCGAATGCAATAACAATGTCCCGTTTTTGGTGGAAATCAAGTGTTTAATTTATTGTGTTGTTTATAAACTTATGTGAGATTAAAAAACCTTTCTATCAAAAATATCAACTTGCCCCATCGGACAAGTACATTGATAGTTTCACTTGCCCAAACTGAGAATTCACTTGTCCGGGCAATCGGACAACCGTTAATGTCGATCCCTGTCTTAAAGTATCAAAAATATACTCAAATATTTGAATTTCTTGCTGCTCTATTTCGTTCCATTTTTCTAACGTCTCTGTAAGGCTCATTGAGACTTCATGTTAGCGCATGTTTCTCGATGTATATTTTTCAACGTGTGAGTATACACTAAAAATTTCACTGTTGGCTTACTAGAAAACACAGCAAATGTAAATATATATGCAATTGGGAAGAACTTTTTAACTGATGATTTTTTATATAAATTATTGGTCTAATTGGATGTGTTTTGTTTAAAATAGGGATATCAATGATAATTGCAGTATTCAACTATCGTTCAATTATACCAACTATTGTATACTTTAAATTTTTTTAGTCAGTTATTCGTTTATCATTTGCTATTTTATAGTTATCTTAGTCTAAAAGTAATAAAATTGGCTTTCCTTAATTCATAACTAAATGCACGAGTGTTCTTGTGATAAAACTGGGTTTCACTTACTTAACCATGGCCCACAAGGTGTCAGGTCTGACCTGACAAGGAAACGTTATGGCCCAGGTCTCATGTACTTTTTTCACCATGTTGAACTCACAAGGGGTAATAAATTGTAAGTTTATTACACAGTGAAGAGTTTGAAACTCTTTATCAGAGTACATGTACATCAGGCACCATTATTTATCATAACTAATAATACACTTACCATGCTCACTTTACTTACTTATTACCGAGAGATAGATCAGAGTAATGAAGAGAAAATGCATTTCCACTTTATAACCACCAGTTCTGCACCCCAACCCACAGGAACCACTGATCCTGGGGCCACATATATTGCAGTAAATTTATTTTCAGAGTATGAGCTCAGGAGCAGAGAAGAAGATTTTTAAAAGAATTAATGCATTTTCACTATATAATCAATAAAACCCCATCCTAACACCAGAATCCTTGACGTTCTCAATTTTGGAAGAGGCATTCTCGCTCATTATAAATATGTTCTTTGGACCCAGGGGCCATAGAATTCACAATTTGGGACAAGGCATTCAATTTCTCCCTCATTATAACTGATGCGTACTTAGTTTATTTAATACCCAGGAGCAGAGAGGATTTTCAATGAATTAGTGCATTTTCACTACATAGATAATCAATAAAGCCCTGCCCTAACACCAGAACCCCCAATCCAGTGGCCCATACGTTGTATTTCCATTAGTGAACTCTTCAGAATTAGAGGAGCGTTTGGTCGTCTGACTGGGACAGCATGGCATTGCAGATAATACAAAACATGCCAGTATCTAACCAATTTTAAATGTTAAGTGCATTTGTCATTCTAACTAAAGAATAGAAGAACTAAAAGACATATGAAAATGAGCGGAAACCCTAACTTTATCGTCCATAAATAAAAATACGACATTTCCGAGGTATGTGTATTGACTTTAAATGTACCATTACGATAAATAGATACATACGATCACCAATAGATGTAAATTAATATCCTTGTCATCTCTACTCTTGATTTAAATAAAGTTCACAACAATAAAATATTTTATATTCATTTTGTTAGGATTTGTTCATCGACATTCAACGTGTTGTTTACATGTTTATGTTACGTTTGTCCCAGAAATCCCGCGAGATTTGTACATTCTCCGACTTTTTCACAAAAGAGCGCACTAAGAACTATAACTCTTCAATAGTGGAAATAGAACGTATTGAAATTTAAACGACTTTGTAAGAGACATTCTTTCCCTGGGTCAGGAAATGGAGGTTTTACACACAATTACACAGAAGTATGAACTTATGACCTTGACCTTTTAAAGCTCAAGATAAATAGGCCTCTTTTTACGCCATTGGGAGTTGTGATAAAAATTTTAATTGCAATTTTAAGCTCAAAGACCTATCATACGGAAGCGTATTGTTGCCACGTGAAAAAATAAAGTGCCCCGCCACAGCATGATACGCCCATCAAATATTGTTCAATAATCATAAATTGGTTAGGATGGAAGAAAATCAGGTAGCCTTGATTAACAGATTGACACAGATTTCAATTACTGTAAACCAACTTTTATTCGCGTGCGAGAAATTTTCGTGAAGTTCGCGAGGGCCTTGTTATCGCGAACATTTCTCGCCGTGAACCAGTTTTAATGTCTATATGAACAGATCAAAGAAGGCTTGATCGCGAAAATTAATCGACGCGAACTAGTTTAATTCCGGTAAATCGCGAAATAAAGTCGTCGCGACTAAAAGTTGGTTTACAGTATCTAATTTCCATTTCTTATCATACATCTTTAAGAGACTTACAGTGTAGGAATTGATTATAACAAATAATACATCCTATAATTCTAAACTGGTTGTGTTAGAGCATAACAAATATCAATCTGCAGCTTTAAATTGCTTATTGCATATTTTACGAAATAATGGAAATGCTACAGTCTAATAAAAAAATCAAACAAATTATTCTTCAGACTATAAAATTCTAAAATGAGACATGACTGCAATTTGTTGCAAATATACTGAAAGGAAAAAGGGAAAAGAAACGCAGGGTAAACTTTTGAGGTGAATTAAATTTATTTTTCTTATATTATGATTTAGTATTCCTATCTAACTTTTAAAATCATCTTTCTAAAAGATATAACCAAAATCACATTTGATTTTGACCAATAATTAATGAGTTATGGAAGCTCATATGACGATACCCTCCAAAAATTAAAACCAAAAACTCTCATTATCTTCAGTGTCTCCCTCATGCATCTGCCAGAGTCGTATTTCTCCTTTGCATGGAATTTCATCAAAGTGTTTATCTTTCAAACCCGGGCTATATTGGGCATGGGTAACCACCCCCCAAAATAGGTCAAACTACGTGCGCATGCGCCAGTGAGAGGAATACAACAGAAATTGACCGGCTTGAAAAACCAAATTGCAGAATTCTTTTCTTTCAATTTTCATGTGAATGTAATGATTATAATAGTCTACTGTATAAATCGCAGTTTTTGTGGTAGTAATGTGGCGATTTAAGAGAAGAGAGGACGAATAACCCGCCAGTTATATGGCTCTGTTTCACGTAAACTTCATCGTCACGGTTGATTGAAAACCATTCCAGGCCCTCTCAGAAAATGGGTATTACGTTTTATGAGGGAAAATTAACAAGATACTGCATGGTTAACCGTTGTTGCCTTTTTCATTAATTAGGCAATTCGAAAACAAGACCCTATTGAACTTCCGTTAACCGTACCAAGATTGGAAGAAATTCATGTTGTCTCTAAATGTTGAAAAACAATGTGCATACCTCAGGTGCATCAATTAAAGCAACAAGATTTGTCAACAAACTCGTCGTCATCAAATTGCATGTGCTTTGGGCTTTTTACCGCTTTCCCTTTGTGACGTCATGCATTTTACGGTTGGGTAATTCTGAACACTGATTTTGGTGAATAGTAACTAAATTTCTCTTCTGACAAATTTTCGTAATTTTCGGTCATGCAGTAAAATTTTTGTTGAATATTAAGCTACCCTGCATTTCTTTTTCCTTTCAGTATGTATAAAAATTGAAATATAATTTTTTTTTTCAATGAACACATGTATAATTAGTTTTAATCATATTGTACAATACTAATTTAGTTTTCATCATACACTAAAACATCAATTTGTTGTCCCCCGCTTGAAAAGTGGGGGATATTAATTTGGGTTTGTCCGTCCGTCCGTCTTTCTGTCTGTCTGTAACGCTTTCGTTTCCACACGATATCTCGAGAACGCTTTGAGCTTTTGCAATGAAATTTTGCAAAGCAACTCCCTATGGACTAAAAAAGACCCCTATTGTTTTTGAGGTCAAAAGGTCAAAGGTCAAGGTCATAAATAAGCAAATTCTGTCTGTTATAACACTTTCGTTTCCACACGATATCTCAAGAACCCTTTGAGCTTTAGCAATGATATTTTACATAACAACTCCCTGTGGTCTAAGGAAGACCCCTATTGATTTTGAGGTCAAAAGGTCAAAGTTCAAGGTCGTAAATTTATACATTCTGTTTGGATGAAAAACTATCATTTTCGGGCGATATTTCAAGAAGATTTTGAGCTTTTGCTATGTAATCTTATACCAAAACTCCCTAGGACCTCTCTCACTCCTCTCAAAGCGCCTTGCCGCGTTTGTTTTATTAGTATTTATTGTATAACATGTTGCTATTTTTAGCACGGGGATATGAAGAGAATTATTACGTATAAACAGGTTCTCGGTGGACTTTATATTCTTATTACATCTATCAGAACTGTTTAATAAAGGTTAAATTAGACACCATGCATTGTGTAAAATTTTGACAATATCGAACGTGAATATATACATGTATGTCACTTCATGTTTGTATACAATTGTCAGCATGTTACAGCGGCTCCGTGTTCTAGTGTTAATGTCTCTCGCTTCACATGTGAAAGGGCCCGCGATCGCATCTCCGAACGATCCATTTTTTTTTTCGAAATACTTTTATTTTTTTACTAGACGATAGTATTCAGCATGTGAAATGAAAAATTTATGAGGTCTGGCTTGTATAAACTCATAATATCATTATTACAGTGTGATAAATATTCCAAATAAAAAAGAATCTTCTACACACATAATAAAGAATAATGCATCAAACCTTTATATCCATATTGACATATTTGATTTGCTTCAGTATACATTTAATAATTCTACAAATTCAGTGAAGGGGATCCGAACCCCCTCCCCTCCCCCTCCCCCCCTGACCCTGAACTGCACATGGTTTACTTTTCCCTAAGCGGGGGACACAAATTCTCTGAATTAGCTTGTTTTAATTAATTACACCAATTGAAAGATCTTTATCATGTTTATCTGGACTAGCCATCAGGAACTCTTAATTAACACAAACAACTATGAGGCCATTTCTTTTAGCCCAACTCCCAAGAGATAAATTAAGATAACAGCTGCATCAGATCTAGAGATGCTCTTAGCTCCTGTCAATAAACTCATTAATTTCTCTCTAATCTGACATGCAAATTTCTGCTATCAAAATTCTTCTTGACCAGTGCTTGATAATTATGCCCATGGGACAAACTGAATTCCTCTCAAAGCATAAACATTTGTCACTGATTGCTGTAAAGTATATAATGAAAAAATAAATTTTTTACTTAATTTAATATTTTTTAACAAGGATACAACTATATTTTTACATTTTTTAGGATTATGAAATTTAGAATTTAAAAGACCTAGTTTTTTAAAAAAAAAAAATCACTTTAATTAAAGGTCACAGTGACCTTGAAATAAGCTGTGACACATCTTCTTCTTTAGATGTATACTTTTGCCAAGTTTGAAAGCTCTATAGGTCTAATAGTTTTCTAGTTATGAGCCGGACAGAATTTTTCCATATTAGACTATAGCATCTCTATTAAAGGTCAGACCTACTTTTTGTGTGCAACATACCGTCTACCCAAGAAGTATCAGTTGACAAAGTTTGATAATCCTAGGCCTAATAATATTCAAGTTATGAGCTGGACAGGAATGGACAGACGGATAGACGGACGGACATGGAGCCTATAACATAATACGTCCCGTCTTAAGACGGGCGTATAAAAATTATTGTAAGTCGTACAAACGAGATACATGTGTGACCGCCAATCGGGGAGGGTAGGGGTCCACTTGGAATAAGTAGTGCACCCTATTGCACACTTCGTGCACTTGCCCTCAACACTGGGTCACGCAGTAACCAATAGACATAAATTTATTAACGAATCTTGTAGATTTTAAATTGTTATATATCTGAACAAATATTTCACTTGTATCTCTTTTGTATTTAATTATTTCAATGTACTACATATATTTTAATTGCATGACATATAGTTATATTTAAGGAGAGGAACTCGTAAGTTGAAAGAACTTGTTTCCAATCCTTTTGTTTATACAATAAAATATGTTCAAAACAATTCAAGCATTAAAAGATGCAAGCTAGTGTCATTAAAACAATCGATCATGACACATTACTCTAATACGAGACAAAATCAGATAAAAATTAGTACGTTAATACTAGTAATGAGATAGTTTAGACTTGTGATTTCCAGAATCATTCTTAGAACTTTAAACTCACATGGGCCGAAGGGAACTTTAGAATACTACAGTAACCAAAATGAAATGCATGTAGACATTATTTCCAAAATTAAACGCTTCATCTGTTTCATTTCCATACAAACTCGGTGAGTTTCATGTTTAAATCATATTGGCACAGGAAGGGGGGCATCCCCCATAATTTTGCCAATAAATAGTGTACTATAAAAAACATAGATAGAATTTGCTCTTGTTCCGTGATGTTGTCGTTTTTTTTTTGGGGGGGGGGGGGCTTGTCAAGAAATTTCGGGTAGTTGAGAGCCCCACCCCACCCCACCCCCCAAAAATACGAACGTGTCCCCAAAACTGAAAATGCTTCCTTCGGGACTGAATCATGTAAGGGAGCAATTTATGTTTGATACAGAACTATTTTTGTGTAATTTGAGTTGAAACGTGTACATGTATATACTCATTTTCGACTGATAACAAAATGTCGAACTACTGATTTAAAAATGTATACTCATGATACATTTGTCATAAAATCATTCAGTTTGTCTTGTAATTATTGGAAACATAAGATTGAGAATTAATAAACAACACGTGTACAATGTATAGCCAACCCACGACCAGTCAGAGTAGGTGAAAATGGCTAGATCAAAATTTTCTCTTTCTCCAAAGCAGAACTCTTTCTCTCTCTTTCATCAATTACTCAACCAATTAATCAATTCATTAACAAATGAATAAATATTTAGTTATTTAGTTTCTTACAATGTTTACTTATTACATTCTAAGCAAAAGAGATTTTCAGACAATATATATTTTCTCTAAGAAGAAATATTTATTTTCAACTGAAGTTTACGTAATTTTTGTATGAATAAAATTTAAGCGTTTTATCTAAAACTATAGTAAACGTATATTTATATCATACTTGTAATGAGCAATAACTTGCCAGATATAAAATAGTATATAGTTCCATGATTTAGTAGTATACGAAGGGGAGAAAAAAATCTGTCATTTATTCATCTTTCATCATGCTTTTATTATTGTGTAAAAGCAATTTGTCAGCATTCAGAGTAATCTTGAACTTCAAATTCATAAATGTTCTCTCTCTCTCTCTCTCTCTCTCTCTCTCTCTCTCTCTTCAACTGCATAGAGCATTCGGCTCACCTAGGCTGACTACGGTACCCTACATCGACGTAATCGGCCGAGGTGTACCGAATGCTGCATAAAGAGCACACAGCGGGTGTGACAGGTTTTCTCTCCCTCCCTCTCTCTCTCTCAAACACACAAACAGACACACAACACTCACCTATCAATGAATCCACTTTTTTCACAATACAGCCCGGTTTGTCTTTACAGCGATGGATATAGTCTAACGCGTCCTGCTTTGCAATGTCGAAAGGAATTACCTAACAACAGAAACAAGGATTACTTTAATTTAAGGTTTTCCTTTTCTTGAGTTCTTGGAATTATCATGAATAAAATAAAATATTTCAATCTTATTTACAAATGTACATACGTTTGATTTCATCTGTTTGCTTCTAAGTTCTCTGTTTCCAGCCATCTTAAACAAGTAACAGTTATATTAACATTCTGTTATACAGCTAAAAACGGCAAGGATCGCCCTTGTAACTCAAATATGGACTTTATTCATAGTGGCTGAACTCAAGGTCTCAGAGAGAGAGAGAGGGAGAGAGAGAAAGAGAGGGAGAGAGAGCTAGGGTATAGTTGTATATTATCAAAAAGAAATCTTTCTTACCTTCTTTTCCACGCAGAGTAGGATCCAAGAAAACACACAGAAAAACCAATAGCTAATCCAAACACAATGTAAAACGAAAAATGGTATGGAGACACAAAACATAAAATAGATACAGCGTAATAAAAAAAGTTCTCTCAGAATCTCAGAGCACAAAAATGCGTCTTTTTTTCTTTCCTCGCAAATCGAGAAGGGAGTGTCGCCGGCTAACGCGTAGAAATTTGAAACAGAATGCATAGGAACTTGGGTCACTTTGGGGGAAATCTCAAATGTATTTGTAAATTGTTAATTCAATAGCGAGGTACACTATACAGATATATGTGATCCTATTCATTTTTATAGCACTTATCTTGTGAAAATCATTATCTTTGAAAACTTTGCTGATGAAATAAACTCTTATTAGAAAAAAATAACAATCCCCCATTAGAAGCCCCGAATTTCCTGTTACAGCTTTAACTTTAAATATAAATCAAATTTAGAAATGTTACTCGGCAAACTCTTACCCACTATGCGGATTTTCCACTGTGCATAATTTCCCTAACGTAGACAAAGTTCTTCTGCAGAAAAGAAAGTTATAACATGCACAGAAAACCAAATCACTATACACGAACATTGTTCATAGAAAATATCAAATGAAATTAACAAGGCGCGATGTCACTTTCTAGATCTTTCTCTTACGAATTCTTAAAATTATAGAGAAACAACTATTAATTATTGCATTCTTTTGCATGGAGTTTTAGTCATCTCAATTATGACAGATTTGTAGATCTTCAATTGTCTTCCATATTAAAATATACATAAATCCTTATGTTCACAGTCCGCAGATCTTATATACTTAGATTACAGGCAATGAAAAAATATAAGCATTCTTAACCTAGCAATGTCAATCTGCTTATTCATAACTTACAATTTAATTTAATTAGCAGAAGCACACAAAATCATACAACATAATGCACAGAAAAGAAACATCTGAAAAAAAATATATAATACTTTCTTTAAAACTTAGCACTTTAGAAATTGTCTATAGTAACGTATGATATGTCCATCTTGGTAGATAAGACACTACTTTGAATGACGATTTATTTTCAGTGTGTCTCCACAACCTTGCAATCAGTGAATCAGTTTCAGTGTTTCATGTCTCGAAAACACTGCTGAATCATTCAAAATACTGTTCGCGTTTCTTTAACTATGCATGTATCTAATGACACCGTATTTATTCACTGTAAAGAAAACTAGAAAGAATGTACTTATCTTAAAGAGTACATGTACAAGAAACCTTACTGAATAATTGCAACATTTGACTATATTGTTCATTATCTAATGTTAACTGTTCATCATTGTGTCAATACAAAGTAAAAAAACAAATCATTGAATTAATTTTCAATTCTAAAGAAAGATGTGAATGATCAATCAAGTTTTTTTCACCACCATCTTGTGCACATGCAAGATGATTTGAAGTCATATATAAGTAAATATATTTTCTAAATAACTTCAGTTAAGCAAAACTCAAAATTGAGGCAATGAATTTGCATGAAAATCATGTACTTTGATGATAAAGACAAATTAGGGATTTGTTTATTTGTAAATTTTTTTAGAGAATGTTAGAAATTGATGATGTACCCTTAAGAACAGGGAGAAATCATGAACTTTATTATTTTATATACATCATTTTCATTTCTTAGTGATTAGGGACCTACAAGATATGCAGACTATCACTGGAAAAAAAAACCCAGCCATTTACTTTGAATCGCTTTGTGAGATCTGATGTTGATGATGTGCATCCATTATTAAATATTTAGTAGCATCTACATCATATTGCCAATACCAAGTAAGTATGCATGAAAAAATTTCATGAAACTATTTTAAAATTCTTAAGGAAGATAAAAATGATTTATCAATTTAGACTTAGTTCTTTCCCCCAAACTATTTCTTGTGCACATGAGAACATGTAAGGTTTTTCGAAATTTGAAATAAATCAATATATTTTCTAAATCAAATGATTAATTAATACAAAACTGAAAAAAATTCTATGAAATGGATTATTTTTGATAATAAAAATCAATAAAGGAAATTTTCATACGTTTATTTGTCAGAAACAATACAAGAAAATGAAGATGTACTCTCATGAATAGGGAGAAATCTTAAATATTCATTTTTTAAACATTTCTTAGCATTCAGTTCAAATGTGATTAAGGAATAGTTTTGAATTTCCAAGATCTAAAGGCTTTATCAAGGGAAAACTAAGCTACTTACTTTTAATCGCAATGTGACATATTATTATTGAGGATATATTTTGATGATGTGCAGTCATTATTGAATACTTTGTGTCACCTACATCTCTGTTTCAATAGCAAGTAAGTGTGCATGAATTTTTTTTTCTTGAAATTCTTTTGAAATTTGATAAAGTTCAGTCAAGTAGGGCTTAGTTTTTGAGACCCATATGTTCTTGTGCACATGTGCACAATTAAATTATTGAAAAAGGATAAAAATGAATGTATTTTTATTATCAGTTGATAAAGTTGTGCAGAAATTAGAGATACATTTGCATGAAAATGATTAAAATTGATGATACACTCTCATGAACAGGGAGAAATCATGTTCTTCAATATTTCATATTCATCATTTTCATTTGTAAGCATTCAGTTTAATGTGATAAATGGCAGTGATTTGGAAGCCTCAAGATCCAGAGGCTTTATCAAGGGAAAAGACAATTATTTACTCTTTATCGCAATGGGAGATTTGATGTTGGATTGTATATTTTGATGATGTACAGTCATTCTGAAGAATTAAGTGTCATCTGCATAACTGTGTCACTACCAAGTAAGTGTGCATGAAAAAATTTCATGAAACTATCTTGAAATTCTAAAGGAAGATAGAATGATTTATCAATTTTAATTTATTTTTTCCCCTCAAACTATTCCTTATGCACATTAATTTATGTAGGGTTGTTTGAAATTGGAAATATTAAATCAATATATTTTCTAAACCAATTGATTAATTAATGCAAAACTGAAGAAAAAATTCTTTGAAATGGATTTTTTTTATAATAAAAGCCAATAAGGGAATTTTTGATATGTTAATTTGTGAGAAATTATACCAAAGGGTGATGATGTACTCTCATGAATAGGGAGAAATCTTAAATATTCATTTTTTAAACATTTCTAAGCATTCAGTTTAAATATGATTTGGGAGTAATTTTGAATTTCCAAGATCTAAAGGCTTTATCAAGGGAAAAGCAAGCTAATAACATTTAATATCAATGTGACATATTATTATTGAAGATATATTTTGATGATATGCAGTCATTATTGAATACTTTGTGTCATCTACATCCTTGTTTCAATAGCAAGTAAGTGTGCATGAAATTATTTTTTGAAATTCTTTTGAAATTTGATAAAGATCAATCAAGTAGGCCTTAGTTTTTGAGACCCATATGTTCTTGTGCACATGTGCACAAGTAAATTATTGAAAAAGGATAAAAATGAATGAATTTTTATTATCAGTTGATAAAGTTGTGCAGAAATTACAGATAGATTTGCATGAAAATGATTGAAATTGATGATACACTCTCATGAACAGGGAGAAATCATGTTCTTCATTATTTTATGTTCATCATTTTCATTTGTAAGCTTTCAGTTAAAAGTGATATATGGCAGTGATTTGGAAGCTTCAAGATCCACAGGCTTTATGAAGGGAAAAGACATTATTTACTCTTTATCGCAATGGGAGATTTGATGTTGGATTGTATATTTTGATGATGTGCAGTCATTATGAAATATTAAGTGTCATCTGCATCATTGTGTCACTACCAAGTAAGTGTGCATGAAAAAATTTCATGAAACTATCTTGAATTTCTTAAGGAAGATAGAATGATTTATCAATTTAGATTGATTTTTTTCCCACAAACTATTTATTGTGCACATAAGTCTATGTAGGGTTGTTTGAAATTGGAAATATATCAATATTTTTTCTCGAAAATTTAATAATTAATGCAAAACTGAAAAAAAATCTATGAAATGGATTTTTTTTATAATAAAAGCCAATAAGGAAATTTTTGCTATGTTATTTTGTGAGAAATAATACCAGAGAGTGATGATGTACTCTTATGAATAGGGAGAAATCCTAAATATTCATTTTTTAAACATTTCTAAGCATTCAGTTTAAATATGATTTGGGAGTAATTTTGCATTTCCAAGATCTAAAGGCTTTATCAAGGGAAAACTATGCTACTTACTTTTAATCGCAATGTGACATATAATTATTGAAGATATATTTTGATGATGTGAAGTCGTTATTGAATACTTTGTGTCATCTACATCTCTGTTTCAAAAGCGTGTAAGTGTGCATGAAATTTTTTTTGAAATTCTTTTGAAATTTGGTAAAGTTCAGTCAAGTAGGGCTTAGTTTTTGAGACCCATATGTTCTTGTGCACATGTGCACAATTAAAGAACAAAATACGGTATTAGCAATAATTCGCCGCAAATAATACGATATTTTAATCATCTTTGTATCATTGTTTGATGTAATGCATTGAAGTAAGGAAGATGCGAAGTAAATTGTACAGGTACAAAAATGACGTAATTTTTAACTATGACGTCACTGATACGCTCTAAACATCGAATGGTCGCGCAAAATCGTTAAAATATGCTGAAAAATGGGTAATCTTTGCAGAAATTAGACCCTTTCACATGCAACAACCACTTTTGTACTCCGCATATAAGTTCATCATTAGATATCTTAGATACACTATTAAAATAGTGTTGGTTGTCACCTGTGATCAATATGAATTTTACAGAAGTTAGCATACGGATTGAAGATATTCTACCGACGCAATGTTCCTGATTCGATGCTAATGACGCTTAATTTACAAAGAATGAGATTTTTTTTATTTCAGGTCCTATCACTGGACTTAGTAAACTATATAAATACCCCTAAATATAAATAAAATGTTTTGAAAACAAAGTATAAATTGCAGTAAAAGAAGCCGCTTATGCTGTTTGTACATCGTAAGCACTTGCATACTCGTATAGTGTCCGTCGGCTGTACATGTAGCATTGAATAACAGCACAAAAACATCATTCACAAAAATAGCACGATATTTTTTTCAATCTAATTATTACAAGTATAATTAAAAAAATCTGTGATACATGTACCTCCAGTATAATTATATTTTCCTTTACGAGTCTTCCTCAATGTGTATGTAGTCTTTCATACTAGTCATAAATAGTGTGACCTCCAAACAATCATGACAGCCATTAAAAATACAATAAAATGTACATACATTGAATAAACTTTTACGATAACATTTAAATGTAGCATAAAAGACACGTTACAGTAAAGGTTAAAAATTGGGAAAGTGGTGCTGTTTGGAAAAAATCTTGGTACTGAAGTTCGAACCTAAACCCCCCTCCCCCCCCTCCCCCCCAAACGAAATAGGTTTTTCGTGTTTGGACAATTGACATAACCTTTTTTTCTTGCTTGTCAGTTATTTATTTTTTTTTGGGGGGGGGGGGCTAAAGTTTTCTTCTTACACTTAGCCCACCCCCCCACCCCCACCGTTTTAATTTGCTTGTGACGCCGATGCAGAGTCATATTTTACATATTTACAGAAATATGTATTTAAAAGCCAGTGGTTATTTGGTAAAAAAAAAAAAAAAAAAAAAAAAGACTTACAATGATGCGCATGTTAGGGAATTTTGAAATTTATCTGCCATGGATTGATCATCGACATTCAGCAGCTTCTGACTTGTGATCAAGCTAAGGACATCCCTACCCTTCAACCTTGGATTTTCAGATTTTTTAGAGATTATATACTGTAGAAGCACAAATTTTGTGGGCATAAAATTTCGTTGTTTTGTCATCAAAAATAGTTTCGTGGGCATTTAGTTTCGTTGTTTTAAAAGTAAACCTATTCAATATATAGTCATATAAAATTTCGTGTGGGATTTAATTTCGTTGGTAATTGTTAACAACGAAATAAACAAAATTTAATCCCCAACGAATATTTGTGCTTTTACAGTACATGTAACAGTAGAGAGTCAAACGGATGAGACAGAACCCACGTGATTCTTTGTTACGAAGGAAAGCAGATCATCTTCGAAAGTTGTCAGCAATGAAATAAGTGTTTGGACACATTTTCCTGTGAAAAAAATCTGAGTGTGCTGCAATTAAGCTATAAAATTAGTGATATCCGTAAACAGTACGTCTTTTATATACACAGATACATGTAAATGTATTTCACACTTAAATCCAGGTAAATCCGTAATTTCCGATTGCATAGACAATCACAATTGAATTTCTTAATTTGTGATCATGAACTTCATGTAGAAAAAGTAGCATCTAATTTTAATATTTGCACTATCTTTATACCCCATTCATACGACGAAAATTTGCTTATGTGTGCATATTTACAGATGAGTAAATTTACACACATAAGTAAAAGTTAATTTGCTATGCGTTCAGACGAGATTTATGTACCATAAGTAAATCCTTAAATTGTCATTTGAAATAAGGAGAAGGACCGCTTCAGACGTGAATTTTCACAGAATAAGGGTGTTTCATTACTATTTGGGTATAGGAGTAATTTTTGGATGTTCCTCAAAGAAACTAGAAGAAAATTCCGATCAAATGATTGGTACGACAGAACAGTTCTTAATGACTTAAAGGACGACGATTGGTATGAGAATTTTCGAATGATTATGGAAAATTTCGCAATATTTTGCAGAAATTGGAAAATGCTTTGGTCCCGGCCCAAAGACTGTAGAAGAGCCGTTGGATGTGAAGAAGGTGGATGTTACCATCTGGTTAGCGTCTTCAGCGGACAAGTCATAGATAGCACAGTTTTTCTTACGAATATATGTTAACAAAGGGTTCCTTTAGTTCAAAGGTTTGTAATTTTACATGTAAAATTTTTGCCCTTATATTTCTGCTCAAATACCAGTTTGCTCTCCAAGAAGGCGGCCAAGGGGAATAACTCGAAGGGAAAATGCGTCATATGAAATCTATTTACCAATTGCTGACTTGAAACGAGATTGTTGAAATCCCTGTAACATCAACTTATCTGCCAGTAGTCTGCCCCAGTTTAAAAACTGAGAAAGGGTGAAGAAAGTTATCAAGGGCTTAACGGTTGTGGAGCGATTGATGGCACGCATATTCCTATCATAGGTCCTAAGCATTCACACGGAGAATACTTGAACAGGAAGAAGTTCTACTTATTGAATCTGCAGAGCGTTTACGACCACAGCTATATCTTTAGAGACATAAACATGAGTTTGCCAAGAAGGGTGCACAATGCCGGCGTTTTTGAAAATTTGAAAATTTATTTCAGAGGAGAAAATGGCTCCTTGTTTCCAGAGTGGAGAAAGCAATTTAAAGAAAGTACTATGCTAGTAGTACATCTCGGCGACCCAGCATATATACTTTGAAGACTTGGCTTTGGAAGCCATACACCAACAGATCTACCCTTACAGAAACTCAATTCACTTTCAAAGTTTGTTTACGTAGCGCAAGAATGACCCTTGAAAATCGGCGTTTTTTAGAGCCGCCATGTTTACCGACTGATATTTTACATGCCAACGCATTTACAGCACTTAAAATGGAGACTGATGCAATACACGTGACGGAAAAACTACATAAGTAAATTTGCTGCGTGTTCATACGACAAACTTTATACACGGGAGCGAATAATTTGCGACGACGTGTATGCAAAAGTAAATTTGCACCTTGTCCTGACCACGTGTAAATTTACTCAACTGTGCAGAATTTGCATATGAGCAAATCAGTTCATACGACAAAAATTGCACAAGTAAGTAAATTTACATATGTGTAAAATATACTAAGATATGCAAATCGTGTCGTATGAATGGGGTATTAGTTACCACATATTAATACACGTTTATGTATGATAAAATCCCACCACTTCATATTATTATTCATTATGTACTATAGAAACGGTATGGCGTATATTGGGACATACAAAGAAGAAGCTGACGACTCAATTTTTTCTGTCAAAAAAATTCAACATAGGCACATAGCAACAGGGGAGGGTTTTTTTTTCCAAACATAAATTTTACTATTGGAAATGTTCTTTGATAGGCCTGTTGCCCCCGCCCCTCCCCCTCCACTTTTTGTTACAGTACAGTAATTTAAGGGTAAATTACATGTGGTATATATATATAGTATTTAAAAAATGGTACTTAAGAAGTTGGCCTCTACACCCCAATCACCCCTGAAACATGACTTTCGAGTTTGGGCAATCCTCCCCCCCCCTTTATGTTTTTTTTAATTTCATTAATATTTTGTTTTTTGCTTGTCAACTTCTTTCAGGTAAGTTATTTTTATTCATATTTGCCCCCCCCCCCTCACTTTCAAAAACGATGCTACGTCACTGCAACATTTTCAGAAAAGGAAATACCTATTTATGGGGGAGGGTGGTGTCATGGGCCAACTTATGAAAGACCCGTGTTTCCCGGGTAGGGGCTTGCAGGTTGTTCGTGTTCTTTGTTTTATTTTTGTTTTTGTTTGTTTGTTTTTTTTGTTTGTTTTTTTTTTTTTTTGCTCATTTTAATTTATTAAAATTCATTCCTGTGTAAATGACTAAAATTACTTTTCATGAACCAATACATTTAACATGTTTAGTATATCCTTTACACATAGGAAATACCTGTCTGTATTGTATTGTAAATTAACCCATTAGATTCTTTTTGTTTATTGCGAGAATCATAGGTATATCACGTTCAATTGTCAGAAAAGTAAAGACACAAAGAAGATTTTTTATTTTTAAATAGCTACATTTTCTACCAAGCAAAGAAATTTTGCGAGAAATGAAAAAAAAACCGGAAAGTGTTACTTCCAACTTAAATATTTTGATCCAAATAAGAATAGGCGAAAACGAAATAAAGACACGTATTTGGAATTTGGGATAAATATTTGTCATCGGCTGCTATAGGAGATGAGGATTCTGAAAAAAAAAAATCCACGAGCGATTATACTTATCCGACATTATTGTCAACATGTATTGAATATGTAAACATATATAAAAGTGACTCTTATACGTGTGTAAGTATTTACACGGACTTATAAATTAAAATGTAGAAAGCCTTTCAAGTGAGAAAAGAGTAGAGTAGTCTTCTGAATACTAAAACAATAATAATTTCGGAACAGGTGTTTAAAACGTTTTAAGCGAATTGAAAGAATGCCTGTTATATTATTCAGTCAGAACTGAGTCCAATTTCTAACTCCACCCCCCTTATCCCCCTCCAAACAAAACTTTTAATCAAAACTTTTACTGATGATTCATTTTCAGTCTTATTAAAAATCATTTTACATGTCTTATTAAAACTCCCAAAAATTGTGTAAGGCATAAAAAATAATATGAACTCATTAAACTCAGAAAGGGGGGGGGGGGGGTTGTACATTTAAATTTCAAGTATTCTTCTGTCCTCAAGCAGGATATAAATGAATATATCACAGAAAACAATCAGTTTTAATGTACCATGAACCAATTCAAAAAGTTTACTGTGCTGATATTTTTTAAATCGGGATCGAAATCCCTCGCATTCTTCTTTATATGATGTAGTATCTTTATTGGCAAAATTGACCATTAGAGGGGGGTCTCTCCTCTACATTATATAATCATAGTATTCTAAACTACTGTTCCATTAATTATGATAATACTATAAATAATAATTATCTTGACATTCGAGTTTTTTTAAATGTTCGTGCACCTTACAAACTATATTCTAAAGAACTTATTTTTTTTTGGTGCCGGGGAAACGTTGATTTCTTTTCCATCAGGACATTTTTTCACTAGGTCTGATGTAAAGAATTTTTCTCAATTTATTTAAGAGAAATAGCTAAAAAAAATTATTAAACCTAAATAATCAATGCAATAAAAAGAAAGCAAATCTCAAAGAGAAAAGACGGTTTATTTCTTTTTCTTCCCGTTCTTCTGTTGGATTTAATTCTAATCAACTAAAGCGGAGACACCTTCGTGGAGGATTACATTGTAAGTAATAATGATAATGAATAAATTGAAAAAAAAAAACCAAAACAATGACTTATTTATAAATCAACAACTTAATTTCTTAAATTTCTATTTACAGTGTAATATAAACGGTGTCCTAGCTAGTAAATTAGAATTTTCAGATTACGCTTTGTTACAACGCACTTTGAAAAATTACACACTTTGAAAAAAATTTTCAAAGCGCGTTAAATTTTGGGACCAAGTCAACGCACTTTGAAAAAATAAAATTTCTTTTCAAAGTGCGTTAATATGGACCATATTAACGCACTTTGAAAAACTGTGTATATTTGGATTTGTCAATATTCCTGCAAATCTTAGGTATGATAAATAATTGAACCTGTTTGATAATTCTTCTGTGAAGAGGTCACTTCAGGATGTGAAAGTGAGCGATTTTGATTTTTCCATACTTTGAAAATTCTTTCTCGCTTAAATGCTTTACTGTACTTAATTTTTTCAAGTTTGCATGCATTTTATGTAAACTTAGATTTATTGAAAGTTTTCAACGTCATACCAGTTATGTAAACACATATATTTGGGTGTAGCATAGGCATCACTACCGGAAAGGGGGTTACATGTAGGCATATAAATATTTTGCAAAGATATACATAATATATACATGTATGCATTAAAAATTGGGGCTTACCTGTGGGGTCAACTTTCAATTTGCTACCGACGGCTATGTACAATGTTTAAGAAAAAAAGAGTTGGGATGAGAGACCTTCTACTCGTCTTCTCCTTGTTCTCAATGAGGTTAAATGAGTTTAGGAAAATTTAAAAAAGTTTTATGAAAGATATAATTATTACAATTACAATTACAATTTTCCTATATTACTAAAATCTAAGTTTAGAATTTTTATTTTCATACATATCTTTTTTTCAAAGTGCGTTAAATGCCTCCATGGTATGTTCTTGTGCACATGTGCACAAGTAAATTATTGAAAAAGGATAAAAATGAATGAATTTTTATTATCAGTTGATAAAGTTGTGCAGAAATTACAGATAGATTTGCATGAAAATGATTGAAATTGATGATACACTCTCATGAACAGGGAGAAATCATGTTCTTCATTATTTTATATTCATCATTTTCATTTGTAAGCTTTCAGTTAAAAATGATATATGGCAGTGATTTGGAAGCTTCAAGATCCACAGGCTTTATCAAGGGAAAAGACATTATTTACTCTTTATCGCAATGGGAGATTATATGTTGGATTGCGTATTTTGATGATGTGCAGTCATTATGAAATATTAAGTGTCATCTGCATCATTGTGTCACTACCAAGTAAGTGTGCATGAAAAAATTTCATGAAACTATCTTGAATTTCTTAAGGAAGATAGAATGATTTATCAATTTAGATTGATTTTTTTCCCACAAACTATTTATTGTGCACATAAGTCTATGTAGGGTTGTTTGAAATTGGAAATATATCAATATTTTTTCTCAAAAATTTAATAATTAATGCAAAACTGAAAAAAAAATTCTATGAAATGGATTTTTTTTTATAATAAAAGCCAATAAGGAAATTTTTGCTATGTTATTTTGTGAGAAATAATACCAGAGAGTGATGATGTACTCTTATGAATAGGGAGAAATCCTAAATATTCATTTTTTAAACATTTCTAAGCATTCAGTTTAAATATGATTTGGGAGTAATTTTGCATTTCCAAGATCTAAAGGCTTTATCAAGGGAAAACTATGCTACTTACTTTTAATCGCAATGTGACATATAATTATTGAAGATATATTTTGATGATGAGAAGTCGTTATTGAATACTTTGTGTCATCTACATCTCTGTTTCAAAAGCGTGTAAGTGTGCATGAAATTTTTTTTGAAATTCTTTTGAAATTTGGTAAAGTTCAGTCAAGTAGGGCTTAGTTTTTGAGACCCATATGTTCTTGTGCACATGTGCACAATTAAATTATTGAAAAAGGATAAAAATGAATGTATTTTTATTATCAGTTGATAAAGTTGTGCAGAAATTAGAGATACATTTGCATGAAAATGATTAAAATTGATGATACACTCTCATGTACAGGGAGAAATCATGTTCTTCAATATTTCATATTCATCATTTTCATTTGTAAGCTTTCAGTTTAATGTGATAAATGGCAGTGATTTGGAAGCTTCAAGATCCACAGGCTTTATCAAGGGAAAAGACAATTATTTACTCTTTATCGCAATGGGAGATTTGATGTTGGATTGTATATTTTGATGATGTGCAGTCACTCTGAAGAATTAAGTGTCATCTGCATAATTGTGTCAATACCAAGTAAGTGTGCATGAAAAAATTTCATGAAACTATCTTGAAATTCTAAAGGAAGATAGAATGATTTATCAATTTTAATTTATTTTTTTCCCTCAAACTATTCCTTGTGCACATTAATTTATGTAGGGTTGTTTGAAATTGGAAATATTAAATCAATATATTTTCTAAATCAATTGATTAATTAATGCAAAACTGAAAAAAAAAAATTCTTTGAAATGGATTTTTTTTATAATAAAAGCCAATAAGGGAATTTTTGATATGTTAATTTGTGAGAAATTATACCAAAGGGTGATGATGTACTCTCATGAATAGGGAGAAATCTTAAATATTCATTTTTTAAACATTTCTAAGCATTCAGTTTAAATATGATTTGGGAGTAATTTTGAATTTCCAAGATCTAAAGGCTTTATCAAGGGAAAAGCAAGCTAATAACATTTAATATCAATGTGACATATTATTATTGAAGATATATTTTGATGATATGCAGTCATTATTGAATACTTTGTGTCATCTACATCCTTGTTTCAATAGCAAGTAAGTGTGCATGAAATTATTTTTTGAAATTCTTTTGAAATTTGATAAAGATCAATCAAGTAGGCCGTAGTTTTTGAGACCCATATGTTCTTGTGCACATGTGCACAATTAAATTATTGAAAAAGGATAAAAATGAATGAATTTTTATTATCAGTTGATAAAGTTGTGCAGAAATTACAGATAGATTTGCATGAAAATGATTGAAATTGATGATACACTCTCATGAACAGGGAGAAATCATGTTCTTCATTATTTTATATTCATCATTTTCATTTGTAAGCTTTCAGTTAAAAGTGATATATGGCAGTAATTTGGAAGCTTCAAGATCCACAGGCTTTATCAAGGGAAAATACATTATTTACTCTTTATCGCAATGGGAGATTATATGTTGGATTGCGTATTTTGATGATGTGCAGTCATTATGAAATATTAAGTGTCATCTGCATCATTGTGTCACTACCAAGTAAGTGTGCATGAAAAAATTTCATGAAACTATCTTGAATTTCTTAAGGAAGATAGAATGATTTATCAATTTAGATTGATTTTTTTCCCACAAACTATTTATTGTGCACATAAGTCTATGTAGGGTTGTTTGAAATTGGAAATATATCAATATTTTTTCTCAAAAATTTAATAATTAATGCAAAACTGAAAAAAAAATTCTATGAAATGGATTTTTTTTTATAATAAAAGCCAATAAGGAAATTTTTGCTATGTTATTTTGTGAGAAATAATACCAGAGAGTGATGATGTACTCTTATGAATAGGGAGAAATCCTAAATATTCATTTTTTAAACATTTCTAAGCATTCAGTTTAAATATGATTTGGGAGTAATTTTGCATTTCCAAGATCTAAAGGCTTTATCAAGGGAAAACTATGCTACTTACTTTTAATCGCAATGTGACATATAATTATTGAAGATATATTTTGATGATGAGAAGTCGTTATTGAATACTTTGTGTCATCTACATCTCTGTTTCAAAAGCGTGTAAGTGTGCATGAAATTTTTTTTGAAATTCTTTTGAAATTTGGTAAAGTTCAGTCAAGTAGGGCTTAGTTTTTGAGACCCATATGTTCTTGTGCACATGTGCACAATTAAATTATTGAAAAAGGATAAAAATGAATGTATTTTTATTATCAGTTGATAAAGTTGTGCAGAAATTAGAGATACATTTGCATGAAAATGATTAAAAATGATGATACACTCTCATGAACAGGGAGAAATCATGTTCTTCAATATTTCATATTCATCATTTTCATCTGTAAGCTTTCAGTTTAATGTGATAAATGGCAGTGATTTGGAAGCTTCAAGATCCACAGGCTTTATCAAGGGAAAAGACAATTATTTACTCTTTATCGCAATGGGAGATTTGATGTTGGATTGTATATTTTGATGATGTGCAGTCATTCTGAAGTATTAAGTGTCATCTGCATCATTGTGTCAATACCAAGTAAGTGTGCATGAAATAATTTCATGAAACTATTTTGAAATTCTAAAGGAGATAGAATGATTTATCAATTTAAATTTATTTTTTCCCCTCAAACTATTCCTTGTGCACATGAGTATATGTAAGGTTGTTTGAAAATGGAAATAAATCAATATATTTTCTAGATCAATTGATAAAGTAATGCAAAACTGAAATCAAAATTCTATGAAATGGATTTTTTTTGCTAATAAAAGCCAATAAGGGAATTTTTTATCTGTTAATTTGTGAGAAATAATACCAGAGAGTGATGATGTACTCTCATGAATAGGGAGAAATCCTAAATATTCATTTTTTAAACATTTCTAAGCATTCAGTTTAAATATGATTTGGGAGTAATTTTGCATTTCCAAGATCTAAAGGCTTTATCAAGGGAAAACTAAGGTACTTACTTTTAATCGCAATGTGACATATTAAAATTGAAGATATATTTTGATGATGTGCATGCAGTCATTATTGAATACTTTGTGTCATCTACATCCTTGTTTCAATAGCAAGTAAGTGTGCATGAAATTTTTTTTTGAAATTCTTTTGAAATTTGATAAAGATCAATCAAGTAAGTCTTAGTTTTTGAGACCCATATGTTCTTGTGCACATGTGCACAAGTTAATTATTGAAAAAGGATAAAAATGAATGTAATTTCTTTATCAATTGATAAAGTTGTGCAGAAATTACAGATAGATTTGCATGCAAATGATTAAAATTGATGATACACTCTCATGAACAGGGAGAAATCATGTTCTTCAATATTTCATATTCATCATTTTCATTTGTAAGCATTCAGTTTAAAGTGATATATGCAGTGATTTGGAAGCTTCAAGATCCACAGGCTTTATCAAGGGAAAGGACAGTTATTTACTCTTTATCGCAATGGGAGATTTGATGTTGGATTGTATATTTTGATGATGTGCAGTCATTCTGAAATATTAAGTGTCATCTGCATCATTGTGTCAATACCAAGTAAGTGTGTATGAAATAATTTCATGAAACTATTTTGAAATTCTAAAGGAAGATAGAATGATTTATCAATTTAGACTTAGTTTTTTCCCACAAACTATTCCTTGTGCACATGAGTATATGTAAGGTTGTTTGAAAATGGAAATAAATCAATATATTTTCTAGATCAATTGATTAATTAATGCAAAACTGAAAAAAAATCTGTGAAATGAATTTTTTTATAATAAAAGCCAATAAGGGAATTTTTGATATGTGACATGAATTAGAAATCATAAAATTAAGAATTATTATTTATTATTTTTATTTCATTTTACGGTAGAACCTATGTAGGAAAAGTCTTTGTCACAAGATTTTTAAACTTCAACACTGGATTTTAAAAGGGGAAAAGTTAAATTAGTACTTGCTTATCAATTAGTTAAAAGCTCATGATGTGTTTCCTTTTTTTTAAATGTAGCACAGCCTGTGAAACTTGGAATGGTAGTTACTTACTGCGACTACCCATTTGCAGTTATTTTTAGGGGTACTTGTCAAGAAGATAATATTAAAAAATCACAAAAAATACTTCTTCAAAGATCGTTGTTTATATACTTTATCAACTGAACAATATTAAGAAATATTTCTCAAGAATTTCTTTTTTATTCAATTTACATAAAAAAGTCCACACTTAAAAAATGATTGGCAAATGACCTCTTTTTTTTGGTCAATTTTCAAAAAAAATTTCAGAAGTCTTTGTCACAATGTCTTCAATCTTTGTTATGACTAAGAACATACTCCAATGATTACAAAAAGTGATTGAAATATATAGCTTTCCCTTCAAACTTATGAGAGATGGGTAATTTACCGATGCTTATATACCTGGCCTTTTTGCACTAAACGGGATTCAATTATTAAATAAATGTTTGATATTACTTTCAGTTTAAAGATCTTAACGTTTATCAAAAATTGTACTTTTTATTTAAAAGGATCATAATTAATAGAAAACTTGTAATCAAACACCACGAATATGAATAAGTAACAAATAATTATGGAAAGGAATGCACATCATTTCATGATAGATAACACAAAAATTGACAAATGATCTACAACCGGTAGACACATTGGACACATTTCATCAAGACATTACACTATTTAGTTGGCAACTGAAGATTTCTTAGGATTTATGCATTCCTTCAAAAAAGTTTCATACCATCCACATTATTGCAGTAAGTTGTATACATTGTAATTTCAGTACAAAAAGTGACATTGAATAAATTATGACGTCATAATGTATATAGCACATGTTAAACACATTCACTAGTTATCATGTCATACGGCGTAGGTTTTACGTTATATGTGATTTGGCAGGATTATATACCTACAAGATGTACAGACTTTATCAAGGAAAACACTCATTTACTCATGTACAGCTTGATCTATGTTTGATGATATTAGTGTATTTGGTGGTTTGCTGTCATTATAGAATGTTTTTGTCATCATCATCGTTATTGCAATTCTGAGAATGTGTGCTTAAATATTTCGTACAATTCTTTTTTTCTTATTTGCAAGGAAGCGTTAAAAATAGATGTTAATTAAAAAGAGTTAGATTTTTTTAAATTTAAATACATACCCTGTTTTATTTTGAATAAAAATATATTCAACTGATGACCGAGTGTACACTTATTTCATTTTTGGTCAAAGCGAATAAAGCCATTGCTTTATTTCATGTTTTTGAAGTAAATCAAAAAGCATTTATCTATCTATGCAAATCGTGACTTACTATCAATTTTGATTAACTTAATAAGATTTTAAAATAAAATTTTAAAAAGCCAAAACTATGGAATTCACGTATTATTTATTTATTTATTATTTTGCAGATGTATTTATCAGCAGATGTAAATCTTTAAACATTATCCAGACCAGGACTTGAACCTAGATATACCACGAGTAAATCATGGTCGCTTTGCCTTAAGCTATCTGGATTTTTGTATGTGAAATATTTACATTCTGCTGATATTAGAAATGGACTGCGCAATTTTTAAGGAGAAACTTTATCCAATGCTCCATATAATGGCAATTATTTTGCATGTAAATGTCTACTTAAAAAAAATGTTTTGTAAATATTCATCATTTTTTATTTACTCCAGAATTAATTCAGACTCCAAAATTCCCCAACTACATAACAAAATCATAGTTGAGTTAAAATCATGAAAATCTAACCTGTTTGAACCTATTATTTCATTAGAAATTTGGTGTGTAAATTCTGAAAATTTTCTAGATATATTTTAATAATGAGTTCAGGCATATGTCTGAATGCATTCTTAAAAGTGATATATGTAGTATGTTGGTTTTATTCCCAATACTTTGATCGATCTAAAAAGTATAATGAAAATAAAGAGTAAATATATATGTATCAAATAATATATTTTACGGTTTATTGTCTTGGGCAATAAATTTTTAGAATCACTCTCATATGATAAAAACACAGTGCATCCACAATTAAATGAGATTATAAAACATTCAGGTACATGCACCTCAATACGACAGGACGATTCAATCTAAATTAAAATTATATGTGAGTTTATTCTTCTGAACACATTTAATTATAATAATATACATATCTCAGGTAGAAAGCTTAAGACCTTCGAAATATTTTGTACATTTTTTTTCCTCAAGCTTGCATGTGCACAAAAAAGGATGAGATTGTAGGGCGTGTAACTGAACTTGTTGAAAATATCCAGATGTCTCTTGCCTCTAACATGTGTTTATAATGCTTAACCCTTTAAGACACATTCAAAAAATTATGATACGATTAAGAATTTATAAAAAGGCAATTTTTTTTACCATCAAATGAATATGAATGTTTTTAAATACAAAATTAAACAATCATTTAATTTCCTTTGTTACAAAAATTTAAGTTTAATTTCTGAATATTTTCATGTTTATACCTCCCTTATTTTCGATGTTAGTTTAATATTTCTTTGATATTTTTTTATATCTTCAAAAAAGTTTAAAAAAAAAAAAAATCTATAAAAATAGAAAATAAAAATGTCCCTATTCAAAAGACAGATGTCGAAGAACTTTGGAGAAAAGAAAAGACTCTCTCTCTCTCTCTCTCTATCTCTCTCTCTCTCTCTTCGTGATATTACTGATGTGTTGTCAATGAGTTTTGTTTGTATCAAACTTTTATTGAATTTTTTATTTATAACAAAATCTTTTATTGATTGATATTTCTGTTTTCTGGTCAAAGAGGGGGTAACTCTGGCAAGGTCAGCAAGTTTAAAGCTTGATTTGTAAACAAACGTGGCTGGATTAGACTATATTTTGAGTAAGAAGCCTATAAAAAACTATTGAATTCAAGTGAGTTGTAAAAAAAAACAAAAAAAAACACGCGTACATCATTTTTTGTTCAATCCATTCAAAATGAATTTAAATTTTTAAAAACTTGTATTGTTTAAAGGCTTATTTCACAGCGTAAGAGGTATATCCATATCACAGTACTTATAAACGCTTTATCTCTTTTTTGTAAGTGAACAGCACTTGATCAAGAAAAATAAAATTGTTAAGTATCTTGAAAGCCTTTCTATGATACATATGCCTGCAGATGAATAATTAATTTAGACAAATTATTTGTAGTAAAATAAATTTTATAATCTATTATTAATTGATTGTTAAGTTACAAAAACAATTTTTCCTGAAACAGATAAAAAAAGAGTTTATAGTTTCATAATAAAATAATTTCAATAATTATCAAAAAAAATAATAACTAATGGTACCATTATTTGACAGAAAATATCTATTTCTCAATATTTTTTTTAACATCATAAGATTAAAGAAAACATTTTCAGCATTTTAGATTAAAATAAAGAAAGTAATTTTCAGCATTTTAAATGGACATTTTCGGAAATTCATGTTTTGAAAATGAGTAATATAGTGATGTAAATTAACTCATTACGTTCCTTGAATTTTGGTTAACTGGATTTTATTGTTCATTTTTTATTGCAATTTTCAAATTCATATTTATTTATAGATACATAATCAATTTAAAAATTATTGTTTTTTTGTTTTTCAAAACTAATTGAATTTAAATTTTAGAAAAAATCAATTTACCTCAACAAGGATTAAAAATATTCCTTTTTGAAATCCTTGCACTTTTATGCCATTTTCTCCTTGGTAACACATAGCTTGCTACATGGTCATGTGTGAAAACACTGAATGCCATTTTCTTTAAAGTACAAATGAATAAATATAATGATTCTTATTTGTTACGTTATTTTTTCATAATAAAGTTTACGACACATTTTAAAATCATTCGTCTATGTAAGAAATCCAGCTAGAATGAAGATAGTCAATATTTTTTCCATCTCCGCTAACAAACCACAACGGCTGGGAAAATGTCTTAGCTGCAAAACACATGTATTCATAACTGATGTTCTGTGAGATAAACAGGAACTAGACGGAAATTTGACACGCCTTAAGAAACATGCTTTCTTTAAATATTTGAAGATATAGTAGCATGATAATCCACTCGATAAAATACTGCTTACGGAAAGAAAACAAAAATATTTCCAATACCACATGTTTTTAAATATCACATCCTCATTGGCCTCTGAAAACTCCTCTAATCAATCACGTTCAAATCATCAGATATGAGATGTTGCTTTTATCAGCGGAATCTATTCGTTTTCATTTTGTATAAGAATCGAAGCAAACCAAAACATTCCATTCGCCATTTTCTTTTGATAGCGTTTTTAGGTCAGACATGCGTAGTATCCTATAGGATATATAATGCGCTGAACTCCAAAACTGAGCATAAGATTTTATGTAAACCTTTATTGCACTCGATTTCAAGGATATTTGCCTATGAAACAATCACATATGACGCATTTCATTCCTATATTGCCATGATAAAAATTTCAGAATATATATCACACTTAAGAGAAAAAACGCCCAAAAACCGCAGTATGCCTCAAAATGAGGTCTCTGACGAACATTATATATACTTCAAAAAAGGGTACCTTCACAAAACCGATCAAAATAAATTATTTACTGAGAATTTAATAATGTTCTTGCGCTTATTTCATCTACAAATGATCGACTATTATAACAGAGAAAGTTTCATTGACTTATCTATCCTAATAAAAGAGATAGAGCAATTTAAAAAACATGCCTTCACTTAGCGGCATACGATTTTATGCCAGTAAATAACGCGTGCCGCTAAGTGATCACCGTTTTTTAAAACTCAGGCGCCAACGGATCGGAATCGGTTATATATATATATATATATATATATATATATATATATATATATATATATATATATATATATATAACATTTTTATGAGAACATGACTTCGTACTTTTAATTGTATGATACACAGTTACCACACAAAGTTGACTTTAAATATACTATGAAAATATATTGGGATGAGTAAATCCAAAATTGGATCATTCTTTAAATGAAGGGTACATATGTAGACTGACAATTACAGTAAAAACAGACTGAAATCTCTTTCTGGTTGAAGATTGCTGAATTAAACAATAGAATCAATAAATAATGATTCCTGATAATTTTTAGCTCACCTGAGCCAAAGGCTGAAGTGGCTTTTCTAATTGAAATTTTTCGTTGTTTTGACACTTGTTGTTATCATCATTGTTGGTGTAAACTTTTCAC